ACTCTATAGCCCAGGCTGGCCTTGAACTCACAGAGATCTGCCTGGCTCTGCCTCCCGAGTGCTGGGATTAAAGGCGTGCGCCACCACCGCCTGGCCAAAGCTTTTCTTTAATTATCATTTTATGTGTATACATATATAGGTCTGTGTACTACTTATGTGCCTGGTGCCTATGGAGGTCAGAAGAAGGCCTTAGATCCCCTGGAAGTATGAGCTGCCATGTGAGTGCTGGGACTCAAACTTGGGTACTCTGAAAGAGCAGCCAGTGCTCTTAACTAGTGAGCCATCTCTCCTTCCCTTACGATGTATTTTTTTTTTTTTGAGACAGGGTTTCTCTGTGTTGTTTTGGTGCCTGTCCTGGATCTTGCTCTCTGGACCAGGCTGGCCTTGAACTCACAGAGATCCGCCTGGCTCTGCCACCTAAGTGCTGGGATTAAAGGCATGTGCCACCACCACCACCACCACCACCACCACCACCACCACCACCACCACCAGCAGCCAATTTTTTTTTTTTTTTTTTAGTCCACATATACTCAGTATTAAGGGAAGCATGAAAATGTCAAACTGACAGCAATTGGCAAACATCTACTGTGAATTTCAGGGCTCTACTTTACTGAGATATTTGCATTTCTTATATACAGTAAGAATGTATGACCAGCAGTATGATCAAATCTGTAATATAGTTTGTGCACATAAGAGTCAACGTCCCCAAAAGAGAGTTAAAATTGACATTTTACCCAAATAACTTAGCTTGCCCAAAAGCTACTGTTTACATAATTACAAAGAGTTAAGTAAGTTTATATATGTGTATATAACTGTTTTAAAATACTCACAAGATCCAAAGCTGAACCTCCACCTAGGTATTCCATTATTATCCATAGTTTTGAACCCTGTAAAGACATAAACAATTTAACAGTTACATGCCTGTCCCCAAATCACATACTAGAAAAAACTTTAAATCTTACATAGTAACCAGTCCACTGGTTATAAATACAGGCATTAACACGGTTGTTTGGAAGTCAGAACATACATTGTCTTTCCATAGACAACTACAGAGTCAGATTCTAAGCCTGTACCTCCTGCAAATCTATCTAAACAACCTAGCTAACTATACACAAGTACCACTTGTCATTATGTAACCATACTAGATTTTATAAAATACAGAAAAGGAGCAATCACTTCAAGTCATTATTTGGAGGAATATTGAAGGAAAAGTATAATTACATCAAAAAATAAGGAGGCAAGTGGATACTATGGAAATCTGTGAATGCTTTTTGTATAATTTTAGTGATTGAAGATACTAGGCATTTTGCATTGTTCCATTTTTTTTGGCGGGGGGGGGGGGGGGTTCAAGACAGGGTTTCTCTGTGTAGCTTTGCACCTTTCCTGGATCTCAATCTGTAGATCAGGCTGGCCTCGAACTCACAAAGATCCGCCTGCCTCTGCCTCCCAAGTGCTGGGATTAAAGGTGTACGCCTCCACCGCCCACAGTTCCATTTGTTTTTAATACATTTTAGAACTTTTACCAGCCATGATTAATAGATATTTTTTGCACACACATGGAATCCCAAAAAAAAAAAAAACTATCCCCTCCCCCTCCCCAAAAAAGAAGTATATAGTTTAATATGAGCACTGCAGATTGTTCCAAACCTGGGACTTCAAAACAAATGTGTGTGTGTGCGCGCGCGCGCGCGCGCGCGCACACACACACACACACACACACACACACACACACACACGCACGCCATCCAGTTCTACTGAATCAACACTGGATGACTAGGAACACAGTTCAGTAGCAGAGTTGCCTAAAAACCCCATGAAGTCTGATCTCCTGCACCAACACCCACCCCCAATAAAACCTTTTTTTAAATAAATCACCAACTTCCGCTTTCTTTGAGACCTAGCTTGAAACACTCCTTTCTCTGCAGTACTTCTTGAATGGTATTTGCTGACACTTGGTGAGACCACAGAATTGACGGGAGGTGGAAAGGCAGGTTTAACTAGGCTGACAGCAGGTCACACGGGGAATGAATTGTGTTCTGTGAGCCCATTTCCAAGGAAAATATTTAAGTGTTTGAAGCCTGCCTTTCCTCACTAAAATAACGTCTAGGTTTCGGGAGAAGGGCGGGCAGATGCAGCCAAAGACAATTTTAACGTAAATGCGTCCATAATAGCATAGCGTGAAGTGTGTCAGAGACACCACCCACGGGTTTATACATTAACCACTTTTCTAGGGGAAAATTGCTGTGCTCCAGCTTATGATACAAGAACTATTTTTGTCACATAAAAGCCCCAGTTGTAGGAGGAAAATTCTCAGGCCGCTGCTACTAGCATTCGTACTCCTAACATCACTCAGTAATAGTCAGGAGTTTAATTTTAAATGTGCAATATTCCCACGAGACTGGAACTTTATCAAGGCAGGGAACGGACTCTAGAGATACGAACATTGATGAGCTGAAGAAGGTTAAGGAGTCAGGAGTTGGGCTGACAGTGTAGTCGGGAAGCAGGCATGTAGCTTAGAGTTAAGAACTAGGGAGAGAATGTTCACATAGAACAAATATATGACACAAAGGAAGTCTTTTTCTTGCATATGTATATGTATATGTATATGTATATGTATATGTATATGTATATGTATATGTATATGTATGTATATATGTGTGCTGGTTTTCATGGGTCTGGGAACACTTGTGTGAACATGTATAGAGGCCTGAAGTTGAACGGCTTCCTGCACTGTTTTCTACCTTATGTACAAAGGCAGGTTTTTTATATTTTTTTCCACTGAACTTTGAACTTACAGTTTTGGCTAGCCTGGTTAGTCAGCTTGCTCTAGCGATTCTCTGTCTCTCCTTCTTGCAGGATGGGATTATAGGCCAGATGCACTTATGGAACTTGTACATGGGTTGTGGGGATTTGAACTCTGGTTCTGAAGCTTGTGTGTCAAACATTTTACCTGCTGAGCCACCTCCCCAAGCCTGTTCATCTTTCCTTGGTGCTCTTTCTGTGTGGGATATATAAGAGAAAGCATTCCCTGCCCTCTTCACCCCCATCCAGTAATCTTGACATCCATTCTGTTCTGCCATAGTAGTCCAGCTTGATCTGAGGAAGCAAATCACTGAGGGTCCTATGTCCACATTAGAAAAGAAGCCGTGAACGCCCACAATGTAGGGGAGGAAGCAGAGGTCTAGGAGTGATTCGTGTAACTTGTGTTTATGTGTAGCAATTAGGCACTGAGAACCTGACAAGTGCGAATGTGATACATCTTTACATGTTTTTAAGAGGAAGGAAAAGTTCTTATAATGACTTGTAAATTAAGATTTGTTCGCTTGCCACAAACTTGTTCCTAATAAGTAACTATACTCTCTCTACCACATGAACTCAGAACGCTTCCTGCATGCCTGACATTTAAAAGAAAGTCCCCATAAAATATGCTTCTATTTTGCTGTTCTGCATGAACGAAAGCACCTGTTTTTCAAGTTAAAAAACAATGCATGCCATTTTGTTTGCACCAGTTCAAAATGGAAGCTTTCCAACTGTCACCAAAATGGATGCTTAGAAAACTTAAGCAGTGACCTCACAGAGCAGGCTACATGGCTGAGTTTTCTCAAGTCACAACTAAGTAACTTCTACATCCGAAAATAAGGCTTCCTACCAGTAAGCAAGCAACTTTGAAACAACCAGGAGACTTAACAGGTTTCTGTGGCTGCCTTCTTTAGATCTCTCCATTTCTAGAGACAAGCTTCCCAGGACGCTGTTCTGGACAACCAGATTCCTGCTAAGCAGGCAAGAGCCAGGACAAGGCCTGAGGGAGCACAGGAAAAAATGAAATACCAAGGAAGCTTATCCCACAGGGGCTCTGTTGTCCACAGCTGGGCCCAACGGTTCCATGAAACACCAATCACAAATAACTGAAACCCAAACAACTTAAATATTATTATTTGGGGGTAAGATAGCTTCCACATTTGATTCCTGATAACAGGTCAGTGTTGCAGAATGCAAATAAATATGTTAGATTAAAATGGTATCTATATATTGGTTTATAATTCCAAAAGTGCCAAGTGATTATAATTCATGACCATAAACCTAGCACAGTTAAGGGCAGGAAGTCTCTGTAGGAAAACCTCCACTTCCCTTATAAAAGAAGCCATGCATTTGAATGATGGTTTGAAGAAGAAAATTTTAGTCATAAGAAACTGTCCCCAAATTTAGAAAAGTAACTACTCTAAGACCAGCGAGATGGCTCAGAGGGTCAAGATGCTTGCTTCCAAGCCCAAAGACCTCAGTTTGATCTCCCAAATCTACACGGCAGAAGAAGAAAACTGACTCCTATAAGCTGTCCTCTGACCTGCACATGCACACCATGGCGCGTGTACACACACACACACACACACACACACACACACACACACACACACCACACTCTCATACATCCTTACAAAATAAATAAGCAATTGTAAAAATAAGGAACTACTCTAGAGTCTTACTAGTTAATGGAAAGAAGTTATTATTACCAAATTGCTGGTGTCTGAAGTATCAACTCTGTTATTCATTGAGGTTTGTAGACCCCAATAATTTGCTATTACTAAAGCAGACAGTTGGGCAAAGTGGGGAGAAATGCTACTATGAAGTTTGAGTTTGTTTGTTCATACAAAAAGTACTTAAGATACCCACTACACACCACACACATGCACACACACACGAGGATTATTTATACTGTATACAAGTTGACACAAGTGGGTGGTCTACTACTCCAGTAGCCTATTACACTAATGACATAAACTAGAACATATAATTGTAATAAGCCAGTCACAAAAGGGTAAATATTGTATGGTTCCATTGTATAGGGTACCTAGAGCAGTCAAGATCATAGAAGTAGGTCCTGGGATGGTGGTTGCCAAGGAAGCCAGCAATAGGAAGTTACTGTGTCCTGGTACAGGGTTTCAGTTTGTAAACACATTCTAGAAATGGATAGTGGTGATAGTTGAACAACAGTACAAAATGGCACACTTAAAAATGGATACTGAATATATATCCAGGGCAGAGTCCATCCTCAGGAATAGTCAGCCAACACAAATTGGACTCCATGTTTTGCTTTTATTTTTAAGAGAAAGAACATGAAGTTGGGCAGGGATAGGGAGGTAGGGGAGGAGGAGCTGGGAGGAGCTGAGGGAGGGAAAGGTAAAATATAAAAGGAAATAAAAACATTATTAAAAATGAATACAGAAAAGTGGATAAAATGGTAACGTTACTTTTAACCATGATTTTTAAATGTAGCATGATTGATTTTATAGAATTACAGAGGACAGCAGAGATAGCTATATGAAGAATGTGGCCAGAAATTTTATTTCCTCTACATGGTTTTGTTCCAGTTGTGAATCCTTTGTCCATAACTCATGCCTCACAAAGTCATACCTCCAGTAGTTCAAATGCTGCTTCCCCAGGGCTAGTGTTATTGCTCTTGATATCCTCAAATACTAAGTAGGTAACAGCAGACAAATTGGAAACATGTACTTGGGGCTGAGGAGGGAGGCTGACTTCTGAAGCTGTCAGAATAAAGTGGACGAGACTGGGCAAATTATGCAAAATGAGGCGAATGCACATAGTAGGCATCAATAAATACACATTTTTTGAAATATGGGGCTTCTTAGAGATGGATTATGTTAAGCCTAAAGCCATTTTTATTTGTAGAAAAGAGCATTTCACAAAGGAGAAAGAAATGGACTTCAAGCTATATAAGAAAACACCAAACACATTTTCAAATAAAAGAATATTCCAGAGGCATTGACATACTCTAGATGAAATCACGAAGTTTTGATTTAAAAAACCACTAAGGCTATACAACTATAGATTTTGCTCTGGAATATTTCACTTCATTCACTCAATTTCTTAAACAAATACTGGTTGTAGTATATATGGACCTGTGGATAGGGCCATATTCCCTTAACATAAACAGAAATCTAAAGGTAATTTCAGGCAAATACAGGCATGACTCAAATTCTATTCAATGCCTGAATGAGCTTCATATAAAAATTACATTGAACTAACAAAATATTTAAAGATTATAAAAGATTCTTGCACTATTATGAGATCAGAAGGAAAGGGTTTGTGTACTTTAGCGCTCTTCATAAAGACTGACTTGTGCAGGGAACGAAAATGAAAGGGAAACACTGTGGTCACACTGATGTGTTCGTCTGCTCTTTACTCTTGTTTTCAAGACGGAGCTCCACAGTGAGCTCAGTCAAAATGAATACCTAGTACATTTCTGCATGTCTGAAGGAAATCACTACAACGGCACACAGTTTTAAAGAACATATAATTTTCTCTCAAATGCAATAACTTCTTACCCCAGCTTACAGTCAAGTCACTTTTTATCCAGCTTACAGTCAACTCTTGGTTATGTATGATATCCTGTGTAAATCCCATATCCTATGTTGCTCAATTAAGCTGACTCACAAACTCCATTGCCATCTGAAATGCATGGACAGGCCCCCAGTACATATCTAAGTCAATTGACAAAGCACTAACAGGATGTGGTCTTAAGTTATGCTGACTGCTTTAAACAGAACCCTGTTAGATTTGATGTGGTTTTAGTTTACAATAAGAAATGCATGCCTACGCAATCACAGTATGACAATATAAATGGAAAATAATGAGTTGGTTAATTTCAGTAAAATACTTAACCCACCACAGTGGTTCACAACAGTAATCTAAAAGCAGCACAGTGTAAGGGCAGGAGGATCATGAGTTCAAGGCCAGCCTGGACTATAGTTTTAGGCCTAGGATTTAGCTTAGTGGTAATATGTACCAACCATGTACAAGGCTCTGGTTTCATACACGCACACACACACACACACACACACACACACTTAAAATTGGAGAAAAGTTCTAAGTTTTGTATGCATATCCATTTACCTATAACTGCATTTATACAGTTTTATCATGAAGGAAAAGGTTCTTCAAATACCCTTTTCAGGACTTCCATTAATATTGGTAAAGGTGATTAAAATATTTCAGTTTTATCCTTTAACAAACATCTTATATATTAGTTTTCTATCATGGAATGATCTAAATACATTTACAGTCAATATTTGAGACACAATAAAGCATTAGTTTGTACTTATTAATAGCTTAAGTAATTGCTAGATAATTAGTATGTAGATACTACTAGGCTAGGTTTGAAGGGAGTATTTTTAAAATATGATATCTTACAAATAAAAACCCATGCAGCTGCAATACATTTGTCTGCAAGAGAACTATGAGTGACTACTAAAATCTTTGCCACCGTGGTACTGCTGATTTAAAATAAAATATGAAAAATGATTTTAAATAGGGTTTATTTAATATTATAAGCCAGTCACCAAAAATAGCATATCTGATCTAGGTACCTAAAAATAACAAGGTTTCAAGTTTGCTCTAGAGAGAGTCTGGAATTACCAGTATTCACCCAGAAAGTGCAAACCAAAAAGAGCAGTAACACATATGACCAGAAAATTTCCAGGGCTCCCTACAGCAAAGCCCATTGTGGGAATTAGGGGAAGAATCTCACAGGCACGGAGATGGAGAAATCCCTCCAAAGCATGCCATAAAACAATATGACCTGCTAACTTAGATGTTTTAGGAATGAATACGAAAGCAAACATTATGCTACAAAGAACCAGAATTATTCATATGTAGCAAAATATGACAGCTAACTCTTAGGTGGAAATGCTGAAATTAGATAAAATTTTCCATCCTCATCACCTCCTCCTTAAGGCCGTTTCTTCAAGTTATTCTTGATGAAAAGGACACAAGTAAACACTTGCTTATTTGTGCTTCTTAATATGTAGATTTTGTTTGATTTTAAATTTTGCAGTCCTATGAATGGAGCTCAATAGGACAAGCATGCTAGGCAAACTCCCTGCCAATGAGCTACATTCTTGCCCATTTCCTCCGTAACCTGGCATATATATTTTTATCACAAAATCTGTACTTTTATATACAATGCTGGACTGAGTGCTCTCTAGCTACAGGAGTATGCTATTCACTTTATATCTCCAGCATGTGGTACATTGTATGACACAGCATCTAGCCATTGAATGACCCTATAGTGAATTCACTCCCTGTTTGATCTAATGTATATAATATTAGACTAAAACAAGCTTTGCAAAGGCAGTAAAGTTGATGATTTTTCTATCAACATAAACTAATATAAATACATAAAGGTCAAGAAAGAATGACATCCAGGTCACCAAGATGGAGGCATAGAAGACAGCAGTCTTCATCACACACACACACACACACACACACACACACACACACACGATGGGGTGGAAGGAGAGAGAATGAGAGAGAACATACACACAAACCAAAATAGCTCACTAGCCCTAACTGTAGCAACATAGGAGACACAAAGGCAGCAGGATCTCTACACAGAATGGGTCACTGGTGAGACCGGCATACCTGTGCAGCTGAGGCATGGCTAGGAAGGAAGAGGAAAGGTGGAGGCTATCAGTATTGCCATGCAGTAGGAACGAACCACTGCGGTCCCAAGAGGACTGCTCCAGAAGATACCGACATCATTAGTGCTGAAGTGACCAACAGCCACTCTTCCTAGGGAGCTCCAGGGAGGACAGGAAGAGCAACACAACCTTGCTCATGAGGCAGCTAACTGTTGAGGCACTGGGAAAAGGAGCCTCCCCTCTCCCAAATCATGCCAATTCCTCATCCTTGGATTAACGGTTGCCCCATGAGGGTCCACAGTCCAGACCTCAGCTCTGGGGTCACTGCCTCAGACTGTTAGTTCACACTCAGGTGGAACTAAAGTTTCTGTGTGTGTACCTGCGTTGCACACACTCACCAACCTGGTGGCCATGAGGGAAAGCTAGCATTCTGGAGGCTAGAAGTCTTCATGGCCACATTGTAGTCACTGTATCTCAACCTAGGCACCACCATACCAAGCCAGGACTTCCATCTACAGAGAGCCGGAAGTCTTTGTGCATGCCTGTGCTCCAGACGTGCACTCCTGCCCTTGAGGCAAAGCTATGCAGTGGTAGTAAAGCTGCACAGGGAACCCATTCTACCGTGGCAATGTGGCAATATACCCACCCACAACTCTGATTTTATGCTCCTGCCGTAGCAATCTGGCTCATACTAGGCTGGAAGTAGTTTCTTTCTTTCTTATTTATTGGTCTCTCATTTATTTTATCTTTCTTTTCTGTTTTTTATTTTTGACAATGAGGAAAAATTTAATTATTAAAGAATTCATTTGCAAGTCACTGTAAATGAACACACTTGACATATATCACTTTGGGGTAGAACACATCATTCTAAGTAAGATGGGAAGTGTCTCTGCAAATATTGCACCATCTTATGTGAATGAAGGATTTGATCATATAGATTTGAGTGTTGTGGAGGAAGAAAGCAAGAACCTGGGGATGATGCAGGTAAACTATATCATGTGCTTAGTATGAGTCATATGCCGGACTAAGGGATATAAAAACGAGGACCAGTCAAGCTAAACTGCTTGTCATCAATGAGCTCACAACCTGGTGAGAGAAAAATGCATAAATAACTACCATAACTCAATATCATGCACTCCATCATTCTGAGGTTGAGATAGATTATACTATTAAGAATAGCGTGTGGAAACCCAGGGCTACGACTTTGATGTGGCAACACGGCCTTAAAGACCACAGACCTTTCTCCTCCTCCCCTGTACCCAAAGTTCATGGAAGAGTGCAGCTGAGCTCTGGAGTAATGTCAAGAAGGAGCTGTTAACTCTAGCAATGGTTTAGTTGATACCAAAAACAGAGCTGGATTCTGCCCGGAGGGTAATTTAAGTCCCTGCCTCTTGAGGAGGGTGTAGTGGTGCACACCTTTAATACTAGCAGGCAGGTCTCTATGAGATCAAGGCCAGCTTGTTCTACATTGTGAGTTCCAGGAGAGCCAAGGCTACATAGTGAGACCCCATCTCAAAAAAAAAAAAAAAAAAAAAAACAACAATAAAAAAAGGGGGGGAAATACCACCTTTCAAAAATAGAATGAAAAGAAAATGAAATATAATGAAAACACCTTATGAAAAAGCATAGTATGAATACCTTATGATAAGCACATTACCTTTAAATAGGATCCATAGTATTTTGTCACATATGAGCTGTCACACTGACTCAAAACAGTTATTTCTTGCTGAATGTCTTCGATTTCATCTTCGGCTTCCTCAAGGTCAATGATTTTAATTGCAACCACTTGCTGAGTACGGTTATCGATTCCTTTGAAAACTTCTCCAAAGGAGCCTTTTCCAATGCGCTCTAATTTTGTGAACAGTTCTTCTGGATCGGCTACGGTATTCTAAGGGGAAGAGAGAAGAAAGTAAACACACAAATGCTTTGAATCAATTTTCCTTTTGGGTTTATTTTTATTTTGTGTGTTTATTTTTATTTGCTTACATGTATGTAAGTATACCACATGTGTGCCTGGTACCTATGGAGGCCTGGAGAGAGCATTGAATTCCCCACAATTGGAGTTACAGACAGTTGTGAACTGTTACATGGGTGTTGGGAATTGAACCTGAGTCCTCAGCAAGAACAGCCAGTGCTCTTAGCCACTGAGCCATCTCTCCAGCCCCATGAATCAAACTTTTTAAATAGAGGAAAATAAATCAGATTAAATATAGAATACTTTATGTGAGTTTTCATTTTTTACCCCCCCCCCCATATGTGTCAAATGTTGCTTAGGGATATAGGAAAAGGAAATTGTTATATACAGTTAATAGGAATGTGAATTGGTATAACCACTATACAGAATAGTAGGGACAGTCTTCAGAACACCAAAAATAGATCTACCATTTGATCCAGGTATTACACACTAGAGTATATCTTTTGAGGAAATGAAGCAACTCTATCAGAGACATGTGCACCCTCATGCCTGTTGATATTGTTCACAACAAGCTAATAAGTTTTATGAATAACAAGAACTCAAACACAAGGTAATAACCAGGAGATAGGAATGTTAATTACCCTGATATGCTCTGCACATATAGTATACACATGGAACTACTACATCATACCATATAAATATATACTACTGTTATATGTCTTTAATTTTTTATGTTTAAGGAGGTATCAATATTAACTACCCCAGTTTGATTGTTACACCCTGTTGTGTGTGTACCAAATTATCACACAAAACCCAATCATGTGCATAATTACAATAATTTTAAAGAAAAATATAAAAATTTTTCAAGTCATCATAGAGAAGGGAACTAGAACAACACAATATAATTTAGAACTAAGCATAAATATGTACATTGGCAAAACTTAGATGTATAAATGTACTGACCTTTCTTAATACAGAGATAGCTTTTACCTTAAAAGATGCAAAATTGATCCCATGAGACTACCTTTTTATATTCTTATTGCTATTGCTAAAGAGACACTGCTGATCAAGGTGAAAATTAAGATTTGAAACCTTTCAAACAGAATATTATTAAAACATACTTGAGGGACCTACTAATCTATAACTTTACTTGGAGCTTCTTCTGTGGTGGTATTCTAATTGTACTGAAATGTGATTTTGATTGTTTGTTAATAAATAAAGTTGCCCCAGGGGTCAGAGCTATTAGAGTCATAGACAGAGTGTGGCGGTGGTGGCGAACGCCTTTAATCCCATAGATCTCTGTGTGTTCAGGAATACAGCCAGCGTTGGAGACATATGCCTTTAAGACCTGGGGGGCTGTACATACAGACAGTGACGAGGCAGTCACGTGTTTGGGTTTACAACCAATAAGAAGGCAGAATGACTATGAAACGACTTACACACAGGGAAATAGCTCTCTTTCAGGAAGCTAAGACCACCGCAGGAGGAAGGGTGAGATTTTAGCTCTGAGCTCTGACCTCTCGGCTTTCTCTTTTACATTGGTTCTGTGTTTCTTATTTAATAAGACGGTTGGTTACATCTACATTCTCCCAAACCTAAAAGGATGCTTTCCGGTTCTAGTCAATCAGTCAAATTTACCAACTAATCCTAAAGCATCTGTTCATTTACTATAGTTCCCCCAAGTTTCATCTCAACGTGGATTTCAGGAGACAATTATAGAGTCTGCATGTCCTTTGTGTTTCACTTTACTAGGCAAAGAAACCACTGAAATTTCCTATCAAGTTCTTTGCACTGCCATTGAAGAATTTCTTGAACTTCTTGGCATCTTACCTAAAATAAAGTTAGCACATGATCTATTTACCTTCCAAGCTTCACATAGTCTCCTCCATGAGGTTTAAATTTCTTTTGGGGGTCTTTTTCTCTATTTCAAGATTAGTGTGTATCCTACCCACCTTTAGTCACCATCTTTAGATGGAGCCAATACGCCTGGAAATTCCCATAGGGTTTCTCAAAGGAGCTGTAACAGGCTTCTACTAGGTTATAAGTGAATCTCCCAAGCTCACATATTGTTAGTATTTCTTCTCATCAATTCAATTACCAACATTACAGAGTCTTTGGAGTACTGTTGGCTTCTCCTGTTCTCGGTTTTGTTTGTGGTTCTTCCCACTTCATTGCCCAGGCTGCCCTGGAACTTGTGGTCCTCCGCCTCAGACCTCTTGAGTGCTGGAATTACAGGTGTGAACAGCTGGGCATAGCTCCTTCAGTGTAGCCTTTTACCAACACTGTATTGTAATTACTACCATACATATGGTGGCTAACCCACAGTTACCTCTCTCTAGTTTGTGTGATAATTTTTCTCATTGTAGTAGCTTGTGGTGAAAAAGTCATGAAATAATTTGGGGATGAGTTCACCTCACTATAACTTCCTAAAAATAGAGGTATTAGAAAAAAAATTCAATGTCAAGTTTTTGTTTTCTTCCTTTTAGGTGTATATGTGTACATGCATGTGGATGGGTGTGTGGTTTCACATTTGAGTACAGGTACATGTGCATGTGGGTACTTGCATGGGGAGGCAAGATCAACCTTGGGTGTTATTCTTCAGGAACTGCCCAACTTGTTTTGTGTTTTTAAGTTTGAAAATTGTTATTGTTATTATTATTGCCATTATTACGAGGGCAGCACAAGTGCCACAGTGCATGTGTGTCAGACAACCTTTGTAGAGTAGTCTCTCCTTTCACTTTGATTTGGCTTCCAAGGATAGAACTGAAGTCACCAGGCTTATGCGGTTGAGCATCTCACTGGTCCCTACCTTGTATTTTGAAGACAATGGTCTCTCAGCTGGGTGTTGCAGCACACTCGTTTTATCGCAGCACTAGGGAGGCAGAAGCAGGTGGATCTCTGTGAGTTCGAGGCCAGCCAGGTCTACAAAGCAAGTTCCAGGACAGCCAAGGATACACAGAGAAACCCTGTCCTGAAAAAGCAAAACCAAAACAAAATAGAAAACAAAACCATGGTCCCTCGCTGGCTCACCTAGTAGGCTAGGCAGTGTGGCCAAGAGAGCCCCAGCACATGGACTACCAAACTGCATCCACACCAGCAGGCTTTTACATGGGTTCTGGGGATCAAACTTGGGTCCTCATGCTCACAGAGTTAGCACTTTAATGAATCTATCCTCCCAGCTCCTCAGGTTTTTTGATATACTTACAAAAGAAATCTCAACTTTGGAAATACAGACTTATTAACAATACATATTGGATATACCATCTAATAATACAGTCTGAGGGGTATACTATTAGATAACTTACTAATAAGAATCTAATAAGAAACAGAAATTAAATTCTACTCTTCTTAATTGGTGTTTTAAAAGGCTTTAAGTGAAGCTATTAACCCTAGGGAAGACACAGCTGTTCACTGCTTTCTGTAATAAATGGGCTCTTGCAAATATGTAAATGATAGATTTAAAAATCAAGTCACATTTCACCTCTTAAGGAAGCTATGAAGTGAATCCTAACTTAACAATATAGTTTAAGAATTTCAATTGAGGAACAGCAAGATGGAGACATCAAAACAGACAGAACCATCATTTACAGAGTATTTATACTTCAACTCTAATTCTGGGCTTTAAACTTTTCACTTCTGCAAAACATTGACTTTCAGAGTAGAAGAAATTTGAAACCAACGGTTTTTTCTACTGTAACCTCACTAACTATCTGAAGGGTAGAAACCTTTGTCTCACTGCCAATTCCCGAATCCCTGATAAATAACACCCAATTTCTAATTTCCTCTTTAATATCTTATACCATAGCATCCAAAGACAGATTTCTTCTTGACTCTTTGGCTGGTTTTGTTTCTACTATCATTATTTTCTCTTCATCTTTCTTTCTTTCATAGAGGCTTTTCTCTATCATTGCTTTCTTTTCTTCTTTCTTTCCTTCTTTTTGTCTGTTAGATAGAGGTTTGCCATGTTGCCCTGACCAGGATGGGAATCTCTATGTTTCCCAATCTATCCTCCATCCTACAGGGATCCTCCTGCCTCAGCCTGCTGAGTGTTGAGACTGGGAGTATGTCACCATATCCAGCTCTTTCTTGTCTTTAGAATAATGCCAAATAAATAAATGGCAAGCATGTAAAGCATGCAAACCCACCTTCCCAGGGTCATGTGGAAGGAGGCTTTTGGAATTCCCAAACTATAGGGACAGCGTGCTAGTAGAACTTTGAAAGATTCTTGGAATATGCTTCAACCTTGGCTATACGTCATGATCATCTGTACAGCCTCAGGAACTGCAGACACCTAGGACACATCCCAGAACTTCCGATTCAAAATGCCTGAGACTGGGACTTTGCAATCTATTTATAGATATTTAAAGCATAAGTGATTCTTGCAAAGACACTTTGGCATGAGTCTTGAGATCAGAAGTTAAATTTGCATTGCTGGGTACAGAGAACTCATTGTCCCTACTTTTTTCAGGCAAGCATCTAGGTCTCATCTACTTATGCACATTAAAGTGAACAACTTGGGAATTAAAACAAAAACAAAGAAGGTTTATGTGTAGCTTAGTAATAGAGAATTTTTTCAGCATGTGCAGACTAGGGCTCTATCTTCACCACCATGATAAAACAAAAACAAAAGCAAGAGCACTGTGTTGCTTACATGTACTTAAGTACCTATACTTTAAAAATGAAGTCTGAAACACTTCTAAGGGCACATCTCAAAAATTAGTCCCTTTTCCACAAGACTATCAACATGGAAGTATTTGTCCAGCACAGGCCATCATTCCCCTATAATTCTTCTCAAACATCATTTTTATCCAACATTGTCTCTGGAACACATAATAGTTTGAAATGTAACTGATGATAGTATTTACATTAAAATCCAACAATGATGAAGAATAAAAGTCTTGATCTAGATATGGCAGTAGAAAATGGCTCCAATTTGTTAAAGAGGGACACTGAGAATGGGTGCAGAAAAAACTGTAGAGAGAATTTGAAATACACTTTGGGCCCTAGCAAAATAGGAATCTAGAAAGAAAAAAAAAACAAGAGAAAAAGGAACAAAAGTCAATCAATATTAACTACTTTTTTGAATCTGAGGTAGCTAAGAAAGCTTGCCACTGTGGGACAAAGTGTGAAATCATAAGAAGTTTATGTAAAGAAGGTAGATTTCTCAGTGTGGTGGGCTAGGAAGGGCCAAGCTCAGGTGTTCTAGAGTCTTCACTAACCAGGCTGACCTCCTAAGGCAATAGTTCTCATCCTGTGGGTCACAACCACACAAGGGTTGCATTTACATTACAGTTCGTAACAGCAGCAAAATCCGAGTTAGGAAGTAGTAACAGAAACAGTTTTGTGCTTGGGGGTCACCACAACCCTGGAGCTGGATTAAAGGACGGCAGCCTTAGGAGGGTTGAGAAGTGCTACTGCAAGGTTTTCTTTTGGCCTCTCCTCCAGGATGATAAGGAAAGGCACGTTTCATTCCTCTAAAAACCCTCAAGTGGCGTGCAGCAAACACGGGGCCTGTGTTTACAGCACCTAACAATATACTAAAGCCCATCTGTACACACAGTTCCTAGAGGAACTCTTCTAAATTAGAAATGATGATAGGCTTTTCTGGATTACTCTTATGTCAATAAATGCTACCTGTCACCCAACAAGCACAATGCACAGTAATAAGAATCATTTTCCACTGGCTTTGTGAGCCTCAAATTAAATTACTATTCCCTCATGTTAAAAACTTTCATTTTCTCTGTGAACATTGTGAAAGAAAAAAGTTTGCTGTGGATTTCCCATACAAGATACTGACAAACAAACAAACAAACAAAACGGTTGAAAATGAACAGGCATAAGCTTCCTAGGATTGCTGCACTCAGGATCACAGGGCACCACCTTTTGCAAGGACTGTACACATGCGAGTCCAACTGGCTTCTGCTTCAGACCCAGGCTTTTTGAGCCAGCAGGAAATGCAGAAGTTGGGAAGCCTTACCTCTTCTCACTGCTATCTAAACTAGGGACTTGTGGTGTGTCTGCTGCGTCCCAAACCACTATCTACGGCGTGGCAGAGATAGTGAGAGATCAAGGGCGATACAAAATCCTGGGTTTCAAAGAAAGAGAGGACCTTTGAGATAAATAGGAAGTTAGCAAGACATCTGAGCCAAAACCTTTCTGTAGCAGAGCAAACCGCAGCCTAGACAGATGATAAATTGTTAAGTATACAAGATATTTTGCTAGTGGCAAAGGTCAAACTTAAATCCAGAGTTCCTGACTCATGTCCAAAGTTTCCTTTCTACAGCTTGGGATTATCTGTAACTTAAATGGTGTTCCCTTTTTACCATAAAACCAAAAATTATTTCCACTATAAATAGATCAAAGAAGTGCCAACAAACAACTTTGTAATAGCTCATCATTTAAAGAAATTTAAAAAAATTAAAAGAGTTTTCAAATTTTAACACAGGGATTTCCTATTATAATTTCTTTTTTTGTTTTAAATTGATGGATAAAATTCCACGTTTATCATGTATTTATACTGTTTTGAAGTATATATGTTTTAGAATGATTAAATCTATATAATGAACATGCACTACTTCACATGGCTATGGTTTCTGTGCTGAGAACATTTAATGGCTCCTCAGCATCTTTCAAGACTACAATATATAGTTGATCACTCCAGTCAACACAATGTATAATAGATCTCATAAACGTATTCCTCACAGCTAACTAAAATTTTGTATCCTTTTACCAACCACTTTTACTGCTTTGCAAAGCCTAGAGGACATTAGCAAAATAAGCTAAGGAAAAAAGACAAAAAGACGTCATTCATGTGTGGAACTTTAAAAAAAGGTTCTCACAGAATCAGTGTATAGAGGAATGGTTACTGGTGACTAAGACCACTGGTGAGGGTAGATGTAGATATCAAAGAGATATTGTTAATAATATAATTTCTTATAATAATCTCTGAACAGTAGTAGTAGTCTGACTTTCCCCTGTGTGTGTGTATGCAAACTATCTTATATTTTGATTTAAAGAATCTTTAAAAAAAAGTGATGATCCCATAATCTTCATTTTCTGTTATTACACTTGGTTGATTTTTTTCCATGGCAATAATGAGGCTGGAAGCAGCTAACCTCCAGAGTGTAGAAGGCAAAGTAATGGTGATAGTCTATCTCATGATTCCCATAGGATCCAATGTCAGCATGGCAACAGCTCTAATCAGTGATTTAATGCAGATTTCAGTTCAGTTCATAAACAATTCCCTCAAACTGAAGAACTGAACCAAGATTAAAATATTTATTATCAATTATTAAGCTTGTGCTAAGTACTGTGTAGGTCTAGAATGATTCAAATGACTGTGTGAGTTTTCAGATTACTTCAATAATGAGAAGGATTAAACAAACGCTCCATAAATTTTGCTAAACTCTTGAAGAATGTGCTGTGAGTGGAACATTTCTCTATTGTGCACAACGTCAAGATCATATTACAAGGATCTGATAAAACTTCATGGAAAACTTTAGAGACTTCTATGATTTATACTTCTGAAGTAAAATACTTAACCTGACTATATTTTACATATGACAAAATAAGAACTGAGATCAAAATTAAGTATGTTTCTAATTAAACATGAGGAATTTGGCTTGAGGTTAGATTCCTTTAGGTGGCCAGTTGCTTAAGTTTGCATTTCCACGTTTATAAGACTTCAAAATATTTATGTAGGTATATAAAGAAAACGTTCTTAGTTTATCTATTTTTATAGTGTACTTACATTTTTATGTCTCTCTCAAAGGTTATTAAACTTGCCTCTGCAAAATAAAGCAGGACTCCAATTGCCATCTTTCATGGGTATGCAATGAGATAAATGGAATGTAGTCAGAAATGCAGTTATAA